AACCAACTCAAAATGAATTAAAGATTTAAATGTAAAACCCAAACCTATAAAAAACCTGGAAGACAACCTACACAATACCATCCTGGCAAAGATTTCATGACAAAGACACCAAAAGCAATTTCAACAAAAGTGAACATTGAAAAGTGGGGTCTAATTAAATGTAACAGATTCTGCACAGCAAAAGAAACTAATAGAGTAAACGGACAACCTACAGGATGGGAGAAAGTATTTGCAAACTATGTATCTGACAAAGGTCTAATATTCAGCATCTATAAGGAACTTAAATAAATTTATAAGAGGAAAACAGCTCCATTAAAAAGTGGGCAAAGGATGTGAACAGGCAGTTCTCAAAAGAAGACATACATGCAGCCAACAAACAAAAAAGTTCAGGCTGGGCGTGGTGGCTTACTCCTGTAATCCCAGCACTTTGGGAGGCTGAGGCGGGCGGATCATGAGGTCAAGAGATAGAGACCATCCTGGCCAATATGGTGAAACCCCATCTCTACTAAAAAAATACAAAAATTAGCTGGGCGTGGTGGTGTGCACCTATAGTCCCAGATACTTGGAAGGCTGAGGCAGGAGAATTGCTTGATCCCAGGAGGCAGAGATTGCAATGAGCAGAGATTGAGCCACTGCACTCCAACCTGGTGCCTGGTGGCAAAGTGAAACTCTGTTTCAAAAAAAAAAAAAAAAAAAAAGAAAAGCTCAATATTACTGATTGTTAGAGAAATATCAAAACCACAGTGAGATACCATCTCATAACAGTCAGAATGGCTATTATTAAAAAGTCAAAAAATAACAGATGCCGGTGAGGTTGCAGAGAAAAATACAACATTGGTAGGAATGTAAATTAGTTCAATCATTGTGGAAAGCAGTATGGTGATTCCTTAAAGAGCTAAAAGCAGAACTACCATTTGATCCAGCAATCCCATTACTGGATCTATAGCCAGAGGAATATAAGTCATTCTACCATAAAGACGCATGCATGTGAATGTTCATTGCAACATTATCCACAATATCAAAGATTTAAAATCAACCTAAATGCCATCAATGACAGATTGGATAAAGAATATGTGGTACACATATACCACAGAATACTATGCAGCTATAAAAAAGAATGAGATCATGTCTCTTGTAGGAACATGAATGGAGCTGGAGGCTATTATCCTTAGCAAACTAATACAGGAACAGAAAACCAAATACCACGTGTTCTAACTTATAAGTGGGATCTAAATGATAAGAACTTATGAACACAAAGAAGAAAACAAGAGACACTGAGATCTACTTTGCAGGGGAGGGTGGCAAGAGGGATAGGAGCAGAAAAAATAACTATTGGGTACTGGACTTAGTACCTGCGTAATAAAATATTATGCACGACAGATCGCTGTGACATGTTTATTTATGTAACAAACCTTCACATGTGCCCCCAAAGCTAAAATAAAAGCTTTTAAAAGTGTATGTATGATTGTTTCTTGACTGTGTAAAAATATAATGTTCTTACAAGAAAAAGGCTGAATGAAGCATACCCAAAATATTAGCCATTAATTCTGGGTTGTGGGATTATAAGAGATTTCCTTTTAAATATGGGACAAATTCTGTATAATCTTCCTAATTTTCCAAGTTTTCTTCAATGAGGAAATACTACTTTTAAAATCAGAAAAAGTGAATAGGTAACAATGTGAATGTGATGTTTAGCAATTACTAAAAACTAGAACAAGTGGCATTTTTTCATTAGTGATTATCTTTATGTGAAAGCCCTTAATTTTCGTATAAGTATTGAAAGAACCCATACTATTTTTGCTTCAAGTATTTCATGAATATCTTACATACTATTAGCCATGATTCATCGATTCTGGATTCTTGCTGTTATGGTCCAAGTACACTATTTATGTATATATGGAAGGAATGCAATGCTTTCTAGGTTCATATTTCTCCCTCCCTCTTGGTTAGAGGCCAAATCTGTGTGACTTAAATAACGTATGTGGTTTGTTTGTTTTCAGTATTTTCTGTATTAGGAAATGCTTCCAGACGAAATCCCTTCAACTCTTTCTTGGATAAAGGAGCAGAACAGTCAGTCACCATTTTTGTTTAAGAAGTTTTCCAAATGGGAAATGTTCCTAGTGAGTCCCAAAAAATGTTGCAGAAATTTATGTCAATTTTGGAGACACATGTCACCAGTAAATCTATAAATATTTTCCATCCTTAGGAAAAGATCTCACACAGCACTCAATACATCTGACCTAGAGGAAATCTTTAATAAACATTATTATTGTTGATACAGTTAATTTTTTATTAGTACTGCATCATTGTGTCTGTAGACCATAGTGGATGTGATTTGAGCAGCCTATTTGTTTCAAGAAACGGATCAAGAGTTCCCACATTACTTTTGTTTAATCATTGAAGTTTAAGGTTTTGTTTTTCCAATATCTGTTTCATATATTGAACATAGACATTGAACATCATTTATTTGACTTGAGAATAGTCTAGAAGGAGAATGAGAGATGCATGTAGATGATTTCGTGATGGACACATCAAGGTTCATGATACCTCTGATCTTTTCCCCCTCATTATGGGACTGATCTCATATGCCACATTATTAATTCATCCTTTATGCAACAAAATCTGGAGGATATCTACCTCAAAACCTTTTTTTCCCTTTTAGTAATGTTGGAAGACTGGTTTCTCCACTGTCATGAGAAGTTCCTCGATAATGTCTGGATATTGACTCTTCTGGAACATGCTATTAGAAAGACAGGAAAGAATGGGTACAGTCAGCCTTATATTATAGATAACAGTTGACCCAAGTCAGACATATTTCATCCAAGGCATTTCCATGTATCTAAAGACAATGTAAATGATTTTTTTCCATTACCTGTGTTTCTCTCTCTCTCTCTCTTTCTCTCTCTCTCTGTATGTGTGTGCGTGCTTGCGTGTGTGTGTGTTTGCGTGTGTGTGTGTGTGTGTGTGTGTGTGTAGGAATTGTACGTTCGCAGATAAGTCAACTGCTGCCACAACTTAGAGTTTAAAAAAATAAACAAAAAGACAGTACTTAACCACTCCGGCAATTGATAGCAAATCGGAGCTCTAATTGGCAATGGTCAACCACTGTAGAATGGGAGAAGATAATATGCTCTAGCTATGACTGAATTACAGAGCAGGTCAGTGGCTCAGCCTCCTGAGTCCACCTTCCCAGGGGAGGCCTCTCCCTGCTCCAGAAGAAAGGCTTGATGATCTTCCTGAAGATGACCTCTGTGCTTGCCATCCTACAATCTATTCTCTACACAGAAGCCCGAATGATATTTAAGAAATATAATGAATCGATTGATTTTGTTGCAAATTTTTATTCAGAATTATTCTAGTCATTACAGTAGAGGTATTTTAAAAAGAAATAAGCTGGGCACTGTGGCTCATGCTTGTAATCCCAGTACTTTGGAAGGCTGAGGTGGGAGGATCACTTGAGATCAGGGGTTCGAGACCAGCCTGGCCAACATGGTGAAAACACCATCTCTACCAAAAATACAAAAAGTAGCCAGGCATGGTGGGCCACACCTGTAGTTCCAGCTACTTGGGAGGCTGAGGTGGGAGAATTGTTTGAACTCGAGAGGCGGAGGTTGCAGTGAGCCAAGATTGAGTCACTGCACTCCAGCCTGAGTGATAGAGTAAGACCCTGTCTCAAAAAAAAAAAAAAAAAAAAAGAGAGAGAGAGAGAGAAAGAAATACACAGCAAAAATTATAAAAAAATACATAAGAATTATACATTTGACTAGTTTTTTTTTTTGAGACATGGTCTCACTGTTGCCCAGGATGGAGTGCAGTGGCACAGTCTCCACTCACTGCAACCTCCGCCTCCCCGTTTCAAGTGAGTCTCCTGGCTCAGCCTCCGAGTAGTTGAGATTACAGGTGTCTGCAACTGCGTCTGGCTAATTTTTGTATTTTTAGTAGTGACAGGGTTTCACCATGTTGGCAAGGCTGGTCTCAAGCTCCTGGCCTCAAGTAATCCACCTGCCTCAGTCTCTCAAAGTGCTGGGATTACAGATATGAGCCACCATGCCTGGCCTGACTGTTTAAAGTTTAAAATTCTCCCAGGAAGTCCCATAACACTTAAACACCATCCAAAGGCTTTGCCCTAACCCTCGTAAAGCCCCTTACCTGTTCCTTGACCACTCTTTGGTCTTCACCCTGTGCCATTTCTTCTTCTCTAATGTGCCGTAGCACAGCAGGCTTCTTTTGGCCTTTGGAAGTGGCTAAATTTGTTTCTGCCTTAGTGCCTAGCCTCCACCTGCTCTCTGCCAGCAATAGTCTTCCATTTCCCCGCACATGTTGTCTTCTTCCTGTCAATCGGAATTCACCTCCTCAGAGATACTTCTCTGATTGCCTAGTTCATTGATGATTATCATAGCCCTCTATTTTCAATTCTCTGCATAACACTTTCACTCTAAGTTATTTTTCTTATTTATTTGTTCATTGTAAACCTCCTCCCTCCCCCACCGCCTGAATAAAAGCTTCATGGGTACAGAGACTTTGTCCAGTCATAGGAATCTCTAATTCTATTGTCTAGGACAGTGCCTGGTACATGGTAGGCCTTCAAAAATAATTGTTAAATGAACAAATAAATGTAAAATTGAAGCAACAATACTGACCATAAAACATTATTATGAAGTTGAAATGAGATAAATCTTTCATTGTGAAGATTAAATGAGATAAATTAAATGTCTATAAAGTGCTTAAAATAGAAATGGCACATAATATATTCAATAAATCATACTTACTATTATTGTTGTCACTATTATTTTATTTCCCTGGTATTTTCCCCATGATCATCATAATTAGGAAGTTCTTTCTTTGATGTTAACCAATTCCTGTTGCAGTTATATAATTTTCCTTTTTGTGACTCACATAACTTTGTAATTCTTCTGAGCTATTTGAAAATAGCAAGTTTAGTATTTGGTATTCTTTCTTCCAAGTCAAATAATTCTAATTTTGTTCATCTTTTCCTACAGGTTCTATGCTTGAAGAAGTTTAAGAATACTTATGCTATCCTGATCTGAGTCCTGAGGCAGGGCTACTGAACTGAGCCATCCACACATGCTAATTAGCAACTTCTCGCACAGCTCTAATTTGTCCAGACATAAGAAAGCTACCAACACAATATTCACTTGAAAATGACAACTTTGCAATAGTAGCTCTACCTACTCCTAACAAGCAGAAGAATTCTTGCACAGACATTCTCATATGCACTTAAACATTGGCTGCTAAGGGATTCTGGTCTGTTCAACTCTTGGTTTTCCTTAGATATTTTAAAATATCTCCCCTCCCTACACCTTAGATTCCCATTCATAGAAAGGACACAATCATTAAAATTAGGATCTGTGAAATCATTTCATATCTGAAGTGACTACTATATTCCAACATGATTGGAGAAGTTATTTTTTCTGGGTTTTTCAACACAGAGGACATTTATGTTCTGGGAGTTTAATATTTCATTCAGATCTTAAGAATGGAAAACACTACAATTGTTGTACCTTTCTTTCCTTACTTTGGACAGGATTTAAATTAGGGACCCTTGATTTTGATAGAGAACAGTTGTTGTTTCATTAAAAAAGAAAAAATAATGTACAAGCCTACTTAATGTATCAGAGAAGTTGATGGAACTTTTAAACAGTCTGAGAAACAATTACAGTTTACATATTATAGAACTGTAGATTTGGAAGGGAATTCATTAGCTCACTCTTTGGGTGCGGCCAAACTTACTCATGTCTGGCTCCTTTCCTAAGTTTCTTCTCAAAATGGAATGTACATTTGGAGAAAAGAGACAAAACAAGAGCATGTAAAAACATAGCAGATGCTAAATTTGTATATTATATTTATATATATGTTATATATTATATTTACACTTTTTTTTCCTTCCTGATGAAGTCAATTATACCTTTTTTTTTTTTTCACTCTTCATACAAGTTTTAAAACACTGTGAGATTGAGGCCAGTTTAAATCTGAAATACTATAGAATATTAATGACTGCAGCCTGACTAGCCATTTTGTTAAAGCAATTTAAATGACATTAGAAGTAGTAAAAACAACATTGATACTATAAATAACCAAAATTAGTGAGATAAAAGATAGGATTGAGAAAAATCCAAAAATGACTGAGGAAAAGGACTGAATTGCAAGAGATTAGAAATGACATTATGGCTATGAAGAATAGTCGATGGAGATTTAATATACAGAAAATAGCAATTCATGGACGAGAAAAGAGAAAAAATAAAACATTTAATGATATAATATAAGAAAACTTTCCTAGAATGAAGGACAATCTGAATCTGCAGATCAAAAGGGATTATTGTAACCTGGAAAAACTTAATAAATAACAACCCACATCAACATACATTCTGGTGATGTTAAATAACATCGAAGAAAAAAAGGAAATGAAAAAAAAGAATTTTCTGTAATCATCCAACAATAGAAACAGAAGCAGATCACTATTTATTGTATTTCTACCCTTACCTCCATAAAAATCAGCCCACAAAAACAAAAACAGGCCAACAGTTCAGCCTGATCTCAAGTACTTCAGGAACATTTTCTGATGAAAGACAATGGAATAACATCTAAAGAATGCAGAGGAGAAAGAGTGTCACTCAGCCAAGATGTCTTTCTCATGTAAGGGAAATACTAAAATATTCACAGGAATGGAATTATTCATGTACCCTTTCTGGTAAATTTTTTGAGAAACATAACTCAACCAACCAGAATAAATGCAATAGCCATAATGTCAAAAGAAAGAAAACTGACTTTATAAGTGAAATAAACTGGGCAATAATTTTAATTGAAAGTACAGAGAAATCTCTTCTTATACTGACACCTGAAATAAATATTTATAAAGGCAGGACTGAGCTGATGATAAAGTGGGAAAACTGTTGCAGGCCAGAGACAGGAGAAAGGATGATTCCACAGGTAGAAGTGAACGCTGATCTGTGTTTGCCTTGTGCACTATCCCCTTATACTGATTCCTAGTGGGTTTTGTCTAGATTTTAATAGGCCAAATACTCTCAAGGAACAGGAGCAAGTACTGGAGCTTAATCTGGGAAAGGGTGGATTGAATACCTTCTCATGAATTTAGAACTCCTAAAAGGTGTCATCTTCAATGAGTAAAAGATCAATGAGGAAAAAAAAAAAAAGACTACTCAATTAGAAGCAATGGGAGAAATTGGTTGTCTTTATAAAAGATAAAAAATTTAAAGTGCCTTTCTCTTTATATCTTACACAAAAATCAATTTCAGATGCATTCATGACTTAAAAATGGAAAGGCCAAATTTAAGCCTTCTAGAAAAAATGGGAAATATCTTTCTTTATGATTTCAATGTAGAGAAAGACTTCCTATGCAAGGCACCAAAAGCAACTAAACATAAAGGAAAAGATTATTATATTTGACTGTATTAAAATAAAGAACTTCAGCTTATCAGAAGAAATTTTATTCTCTCTAGAAAATAAGAGTCATAAAGAGGGAGAAGATAATTGCCACACATATGACCAAAGGGTTAGTCTCAGGATACAAAAAGAACTCCTTTGAATCATTAAGAGATAAACAAACTAATAGAAAAATGGGCAATTGTCATGAACAGTCATTTTCTAGAGGAGGAAACATAAATAGCCAATAAATATATAAAATATTATTCCTCTTATGAGTCAAGACAGTGTAAATAAAACTACAATACCATCTTTTTATATTAGATTAATGAAAGTTTAAAAGTCAGTTAATACCAATTGTTGGCAAGAAAGCAACAGGAGTTTTTGAAGGCTGCTTGTGGGAGTGTAAATTGGTACAATCACTTTGTAAAACAATCCAGCACTGACTGGTAAAGTTGAATATGTGCATACTGTATGACCCAGGAATTTATCTTCTATGTATAAATCTTAGAGAAACTTTTACACGTGAACCAGGGCATGTTCAGAAAAGCATTATCCCTGTTAGAAAAATCTTAAAGTAATACAAATATCCATCAACAATGAATTGGATTAAAAAACTTAAGGGTACACATATACTATACCATTATATAGCACTAAAAATAAGTGAACATGCTGTACTCTATCTGTAAATGTAAAGACTCATGATGCTGAACCGCAGAGGGAAGTTACAAAAATATAGAATGATTTCATTCAGAAAAGCTGAAACAAGGCAAATGAAATGATATATTCTTTGGAGAAACACACATGTGACAAAACTATGAAGAAAAGCAAGGGAAGGCTTATTGCTATTTCAGTGTAGGATACCACTGAGGGCACAGAAGTGGACAGATCAGAAAGGAGCACATGGCCCTCTGCATGGATCAGAGCACAGTGTGAGGGACATGGGCGTCATTTGTATTCTTCATTAAGTGGTGAAAATATACTGTGTGCACTTTTAGTACATATGATTTTAAAATAATAAACAGTTTAAGAAGTTAAATGGAAAACTATAATAAATTTGGTGAAAAGCGATTTTGTTGTAATAGGTTGACAAAAGTACAGGTGTACATCAAGAAAAATAATTTAGGGTAAAAAGTATTAATAAAAGCAAAGTAAATGATTTTATATGTTGGCTCAAATACAAAACTAAGACAATAATTATAAAGAGAACACCTAGGAGCCAAAAAGAAGCAGTTTTTTTTTTTTTTAAAATGGATGAAAAGCCCAGTCTCAAGCACACTTAGAATCCAGCACGTAAGAGCAATAATAGCTCTTATTTTGATCATATTTTCTAGGTATATTGCTACTTGAACTTAAATTAAGTTTTAATTTAAATGTAGGATGAAGCGATAAATATATGATTTATAATGCAGCTTAAATGTCACTTCCTACAGTAAGTTTTCTTTGATGTCCCTGGAAGTCCATAAATGCTCCTGCTGTGGGCTTCCATAGCAGCCTATATATTCCTCATTACTACAGGTAACATTCTTTATAGCAGTTCTGCGTTCAAATCCATCCCACCCTACCCCTCTAGAAGACTATGCACTCAATGAAGATATGATATTATTCTTGTTTTTGTTTTTTGAGACAGGGTCTCACCCTGTAGCCTAGGCTGGAGTGCAGTGGTGTGATCACAGCTTACTGTAGCCTCCAACTCCTGGGGTCCAGCCATCTTCCTGCTTCAGACTCTCAAGTAGCTAGGCCTACAGGTACATACCACCATGCTCAGCTAATTTTTTTTTTTTCATTTTTGCAGAGACAGAGTCTCACTGTTTAGCCTGTGATGGTCTCAAACTGCTGGGCCTCAAGCAATCCTCCTACCTGTGCCTCCTGAGTCGCTGAGATTACTGGTATGAGCCATTGCACCCAGCCCCCTATTTTATCTTACTCACTAGCAAAGTGAACAGTGCCTGGCACAGAGTAGGTGTTCAGTAAACATATATTAAATTCATATATAAATAATCAAAGAAATGGATGTAGATTTGATATGGGGCAGGTCTATGAAATAGTATATGAAAGCAGAAGCCATAGCAGCATACAATTGAATACTTGACTACATCAAACAAAAAGCACAGTAATTCTATACCCAGAGAAAAGGCAAATGGCAAAATCGAGAAAATGTATGGTATTGAGGCAGAAGAACCGCGAATTAGGGGAACCAAGGGTTAAGGCATAAGCAAGAGAACAGCAGGTACAGCCAGTTCTAGGCAAGATTAGGCAGCAAACAGACCACATCTTCACTCCTGTGACAACAAGACAGAAGTCTCCACTTCAGCCTCAGACTGGTCATAGGGCAATCCTTCACAGAGTGTAACCAGTTGGAGGCCCTCTAAAGGGCACCTAGGAGTGTTACCAAGTTTTTTTTAGCTTAATAAAAACCCTAAAGAACATTGCAATGGGGTGGGTGCAGCTCTTGAGCTGCTTGCTGGAGCCTGCTCCCACTCTATGGAGTGTATGTTTGCTTCAATAAATCTGTGCTTTTGTTGCTTTGTTCTTTTGTTGCTTTGTTTTTGTCTTTTGTTCAACTCCTTGTTCAACAAGCCGAAAACCTGGACAACTTAGAGTCAAGACCTTTCACTCGGTAACAGGATTAAAATGTTAGGCAAAGAAAAAGTCTTCAAAAAAATACTGGCAAACCGATTGCAACAGCACATTAAAAAGCTTATCCGTCACGATCACGTAGGCTTCATCCCGGGATGCAGTCTGGTTCAATATATGCAAGTCTATAAATGTAATCCACCACATAAACAGAACCAAAGACAAAAACCACATGATTATCTCAATAGATGCAAAGAAGGCCTTTGACAAAATTCAACAGCCCTATATGCTGAAAACTCTCAATAAACTAGGTATCAATGGAACGTATCTCAAAATAATAAAAGCTATTTATGACAAACCCACAGCCAATATCATACTGAATGGGCAAAAACTGGAAGCATTCCCTTTGAAATCTGGCACTAGACAAGGATGCCCTCTCTCACCACTCCTATTCAATATAGTATTGGAAGTTCTAGCCAGAGCAATCAGGCAAGAAAAAGAAATAAAGCGTATTCAATTAGGAAAGGAGGACGTCAAATTGTTTCTATTTGCAGACAACATGATTGTATATCTAGAAGACCCCATTGTCTCAGCCCAAAATCTCCTGAAACTGATAAGCAACTTCAGCAAAGTCTCAGGATACAAAATCAATGTGCAGAAATCACAAGCATTCCTATACACCAATGACAGACTTCAAGAGAGCCAAATCAAGAACGAACTGCCATTCACAATTGCTACCAAGTGAATAAAATATATAGGAATACAACTAACAAAGGATGTAAAGGACCTCTTCAAGGAAAACTACAAACCACTGCTCAAGTAAATAGGAGAGGACACAAACAGATGGAGAAACATTCCATGCTCATGGTTAGAAAGAATCAATATTGTGAAAGTGGCCATACTGCCCA